GGCCTTATAATTGCCCTAGAACTAGATACTGTAATTGTCCTTATCAGGGAATGGGAGCTTAGAACGGTACAGTAACTGCCCAAGAGCATGCAACTAGAAGGTGGCAGAACCAAGATATGAAATTTAGACGTTTTCTAATTCCCAAGTGAATGTCTTTGGAATATTTTTGGTACCTCCCCATCTCCCAGCGGGAAGATCTCTGTTGTCAATGCACCATTGTTAATACATAGCAACAGAAGCAGCTCTCAGATGCTCCTGACTTGAATAGAGCCTTCCAGGGTCCCCTCCAGCGTTCAGCAGCTGCTCGTTCTCTCCAGGGTCTTCCCCGTGGGAGCTCTTCACAGATGCTTTGATAACGGGACCTCTGTTGATCGGGGCTTCCCGCAGCTGCTCCACTGGAGTCCTCATGTGTCTCACCTTCATCAAACTCCACACTGGGGGTCAATGTCGAGTGTAAGGTCCTGATGGCCAGGTGACATGAGATGAGCTGTTCACCCGGGATAATAGCAGGACCACGGCTCAGGAGAGAGTCCACATCATGGGCAAGAAGGGATGCAGAATATGTAAAGCAGAGAAGCAGGGTCTAGCCTCAGGCCAAAAAACTGAGAAATGATCCCAAGCGGACAGGTGATTACAAGGTCAGTAGACACAAAGTGTGGGAGCAGTGGAGGAGGCTGAACGGAAGGTGGATCACGACAGGTAGCCCAGTAATTCTACTGATTTGGAACAGTGTAGAGAGCTGGGGAGCAGTTTGGTTGGTTGGTCAGTTTGCTTGTTTTCTGTTTGGTTTTTAAGGGGTCCTGAGTGGAGTGAATGGTCCTGAGTAGTGCTAGATGCACACAGCCTTCAGTAGTTCTAATTGCAACAGGCTGGCAGGGCCACTACTCTTTACCGCCCCCCACTGGGGACCATGCACAGCTGCATTGCTGCTTTTCCACTAATGACTTCTTGGTAAAAGCCAACTCTGTCAGGGAACATATACATCATTGAACTGCATTAAGGACAGCAAACATGTGGGACAATGGAGCATCTCGCTTAGTTTCATTTGCTAAGACCTTCTGCAGACTCACCATCCCTCCTTATTCCAAATGAACTCTAAAACTCTGTAACGAAACCCACCCAAAAGGTTTCAGCAGAGACTGTTTTGCACCTCACTGTTGTATTCAAAACTGAAAAAACAGAGGATTTGGAAAATTCCAAAATTGGGGGTCATATAAAGACCAAGGCTTAGAATTAGCCTTGGCAAACGTGATCCATAAGTTGTTCAGAACGTTAACATTTGAAGTTCTGTCCTGGTGAGGAAGCTAAGAGACGTTTCTCTATTTTTATAATGAATAAGAGGAGGCTTTGCAATAGAGAGAGAAACACAGGGGCCATTCTCCCAGGCTCTGGAATCAGACAGTTTGAGTTTAAAACCCACTGACAAACTGTATGGCCTTGAACACGTGACTTAACATAGAGCCACTTCTTTATGACTCAGACTCCTCATTGGTCAAATGGAAAATACAGTGGCTACTTCAAAGGGTTATTGTGGGGATTCAATGAGATAGCGTACATAAAGCACACAGCACAATTGCTAGCGCTTGGAGAGTGTTCCAAGTGCTTTATTTTCATTATTATCATCGTTACGATGATTATTCTCACCATCATATTAGACTCAGACACTCTTACTCTCCCCAAACCTATACTTACTTTCCCAGACTTCTGCTAATCTTATACTTGGGCTTCATCTAATTGGCAGTGAGTCAAAGGAGGATTCATTATATCAAAGTGTTTGCCAAAGAATGTTTTTGGCAAATTCACAACTGATCTCTTTGGTGCCAGTGTCTAAGGTTAGGGTTACCCCTCATCACCTTCTTGTCTTGTTAATAATACCATGACATTGACTGTTTATAAAGTTATGTTTCAAAAATGAACAGCTTATTTGAAGCCATCCATATTTTCAGGCTAAATAAAGGCTCAGTTAATATACTATCCACCGAATGAAGTACTGCCTTGAAGTGTTCCCAACCTAATCTCTCCCGAGAAAAGATCCTTAGTTCTAATATTTGAACAAAAGGGCTCATTTTTTTAAGTAAGCATAAATGTCTAATAACAAATCAGTGACCATTTTTTAGATCATTCTCAATGTGTTTGTAAAGCTAATACTGATATTTCTTAGGCTAATATGTTTTCATCAATATTTGGTAATCACTTCCTGTAAATTTTGAGGTTTTATTTTTTGGATAATATTTAAGAGGTTGTTTTCATGAGTCTTTAAGAAATAGATAGTTTTGGCCTTTATTTACAATAGATTTTTCTCAAGAAAGTGATCTCCATCCAATGGCCAAATTGTTATATTACAACCTGCAAAGAAAAGTATCAAAGCCCATATACTCCCATATCAAGCACCTTATGACCTACTAATAACTGTTTGGTTTTAATAGGTAATACTACCGCAAAAACTGTTAAATATTTTAAGATACTTATCAGTATTTGTTCCAAAACTGATAGTGGAGAATTTTTTTTGTTAAGTCAAGACTTGCTTAATTTAATTGGAAAGATTATAATAATAAAAAAATGCAAATTTCTGATTTGGGGGTAATATTGGTATTTCCTCAATTGAACTGAGAAAAACTAAGCCAAAAATCGTACTCCTGTATCTCCTATATTTCTGTTTCTGCATAGCATGAAAAGGATACCATATTTTATTTTTTAAAACAGTAAGAACATTTTGATATTGGAGGGGAATCAACATAAACATTTTTTATGTGTTCACATTAAGACCTCCTCATGCTGAAGAGCGGCCATCACTATCTCCTTAGAGCAGAAATCACCCCTATCCTCTCCCTATGCAGAGGTCTTTTATGTCTTTCAACTGTATACTGAATGCCTTCAAAAGCCCTCTTTAAATACTACTTTTCCATGAAGATTTCTCAGATATCCCAGCTTGGATTAATCTCATCTCCTTTATTTTTGTACCTCAATGTGCTTATGGTAGGTACTTAATAAATGCTAATTGAGTTAAGCATATCCAAGAAGAGCCTGCCTGAATAAGTCTCTTTAATGATTAGAGGTCCCTTCCCTTTGGCCTTTCTCAGGATTGTTAAAGTCCCAGATGCATGAAGTATCTGTCCGCAAGAAATAGATGTCCCTGTTTGGGTGTCATAGTTGCTAACACACTTTTGTGGTTTACAGGCTTATGCATTACAGCTGGGAGAACTTCAGGAATAGTAGATAATTAAATCCAGTTAGCTCAGTAACTTTGGTCAATTAACCTTTCTAGGAGCTGGTATCCTTGTCTGTAAAATGAACCTGCTGAAGTAGATAATCTCTCAATGTCCTGTAAGGACCAAATGAATATATCTGTAAAGTGACAAAATTCTAAGAAAATTTTAAATTGAAAAACATGTTTACGACTGGCTAAGCTAGATTATGAGTTTTTCCTTTATTTTTTTACTAGACGGATTGATTTGGATTTAATGTTCTACTTTGGTCATAGATTCATAGGTGATTCATGAAACATCAAGCCCCTGGATAATTCTTCCAGTTTGGCCTCCAATCTTTGGGTCATAACACTATTTATTAATAACTCCAGTAGAAAAAGTAAAAGAATATTTTAAAATTAGCCAGTTAATAGTTTGGATAAAGGTTCTAATGGGAAAAATGTTGTTAACAACTGAACTTGAATTCACTTGTTTACTTATTCATTCAACAATTTTTTAAACCACATACTTGCTGAGCTATAAGAACACATGAGAGTTGACTTTGTTTTACTACTGGTTGATGCTAGACTAGAAAAGCTCTTTGTAGAAAGCTTATCTAGATTCTAAAGACTGTGATGTTAAGAATGGCATGTATGGTGCTTTTTTTCCCCCAAACTCTAAAAGCTGTATTGCCAAGCATCATGCCTTTCATTCATTTGATCATTAATTCAAACCACTTAGTAAAAATTCTTTGAAGTGCCACCATGAAGTGCTTCGAACACCCAGAATCTCCATTCTCAGAGAGCTCACAGTCTAGGAATGGAGATCAAGTGGTAATTATTTCCAGCTCATTGTAAATGCTATCCGCGGGGAGTGGGAAAGAGTCTTGGGAACACAGAGAAAGGGCATCTCATGAAGCTCTGGGGTATCAGGGCAGCATTTCAGATGAAGGCTAAGTTCTCAAGGATAAATAACAATTAGGCAGGAGATTGGAGGGTTGAGAAATTGGGGAGCAGAAAGGTTAGGTAGTGAGAGCCTGATACAAGTAGGTGGTGGTTCAATATGAGGGGAGCATGAAGTTCCCGATGGAAGAGTGTTGCATATCGAGGTTGGGAAAAGGGTTTGTTGTCATTGAGAACAGATGCTTAAGACTCTGTCAGTTCAGCCAAGAAATGTGAACTTTATCTTGAGGACAACAGTGAGCCACTGTAAGGTTTTGAACTGATGAATTACACAGTCAGGTTTAGATTTTAAGAAGAATCATACAAGGTGGAAAATGGATTCAAGAGACTAATTTAAAGGCTCTTATAATAATGTAGGTGACAGTTGATGGAATCATGAACTTAGTATACTGGCAGTGGGGATGGAGGGAAGTGGCCACAACAGAAATTAGTGATTGGGTAGGTGTAGGTGGGAGTGGAGAAGCCCAGGTTTGGGGAATCAAGGATATTAGGCATGTAATGGGCACTTGTTGAACTGAACCCAAATATTTAGTGAATTACTATGTAAAAGGAATTCTGTACTTAGGAGAGCTAGTCTTTGCAGAATGGCTCCTTTTAAACTGAAAATGAGTTCAGAGGGACCTATATATTTTGTATTTGGTCAGTTAACAGAGGTACTCAAAGGTGTAGGAAGACAAGTATATGAAGTCAGTGTGTTTTTTTTTCTTTTGTGTATTTTGGTATTACCATTTTTTTTTGACAGCAGGAATCAGCTGTAAGTTTTCCTATTGTCAGTTCCTAAACTGAAGTCTCCCTTTACTAAACTATTAACATATAATTCAGAGCAATGTCATTCTTTCTCCTTAATTGACAGCTTCGATGTGGACAATGGCACATCTTCTGGACGGAGTCCCTTGGATCCCATGACCAGCCCGGGATCTGGGCTAATTCTCCAAGCAAACTTTGTCCACAGTCAACGCCGGGAGTCCTTTCTGTATCGATCCGACAGCGATTATGACCTCTCACCAAAGTCTATGTCCCGGAACTCCTCCATTGCCAGTGACATGTAAGTGTGAGGGGGAGCAAAGAGAAGAGGGCGTGCTTAGAGAAAAATCAAGTAAATTTCCCTCTAGCGTTGATAAAACCAATGATATTTGTTCAACTGCATCATTCTCTAATTTAAAAAGGATGGTGGATAAAATTATACAAGTTGAAGATAAATGGTAGATTGAATCTGTCACTCTTGATAAGAAACATTTATTTTCCCAGAGAATACATTGTCTGGGAAAAGAGAGAATTAAATTTGCAAGGGAGACATTTACACTTAAAACTTTAGCTTATATTCATGTAGGACCTGAGTTTAGCTACCCAACCATGTGAATATTTTCGAATATTTTGACAGGCTTTAAACTCAGTTTGCAAGTCCCTGTGATATTAGCACATATAGCCCTTTGAATATATCTCCATTGACGTACTGTGCAGATGTTAGCCCTGGTTTGCCAGTTCATTTGAAATCTTTGTGAAGGTTTGCCTAAATTAAACCATTTTTGGAATATTAATCACGGGAGGCAAGTACAGAAAACATTAGACAGACTTGAATATCATTTTAGACATGCCACAGCTTGGCAAGTAATTAAAACTGATAAGCAGATTCGCGGATCATATACCATCATTAGCTCATTTTCTTGTGCTTACTGTAGTGTTCATTAGTTTCCTAGTTTCTGGAGGCTTCTAAATAGGATCTAACTCTCACTCAATACCTGCACTGTCTTTGGTGGTCACTCTGCCTCTGTGTAGAGTTAGCGTCTACTTTCCTCCTCTGCATCTAGGCATTTGTCTGATAACATCACCGTCTTCTCATGACACCATCTCAAAAACTCAGCACAGGTTGCAGTGCATCTTAGAGGAACTGTATATGGGGTTCCCGAGGGTCTACTGTTATTCTTGGTATTCTAACAGATCATCAATGTATCTTAATAGGTCTCTGTGGGATTCTAGAAATGGAATTATGCTTTACTCACTTTCCAACCTATGGCTCTTAGTTGCCATTTATTAATGGTTGTAAAATGACAACACTGTCTTCTCCCTAGGAATGAGCAGCTAAAGTACAATCACTTTGATTCAAATTCTGAATTATGAAATTCACATTGTGTAACTGTCTTTGAGAACTGCAGGGGAGAGAAGAAAACTCTAAGACAGAGTTCTTGTCTCAGATAACTAATAATCTTATGAAATGACAGGTTTTAGATCAAATAATTAGTGAAAAAGACAGTATGTAAGTCCTAATTTCTGTCCTTGTGGTCTACAGGTAAAAGCATCTCATCACCTACCTCTATGCACAGGTCTCCACCATCTTTCCAAAACTACCCAATCTACTCTCCTTTTTTACCTGTTGTTTTTGGTAATAAAACTTCTGCATAATCATATCTCTGCCCATCCTTCCAAGCCCACCCCAAGATCCACATCTATTCTCTATATTTCCTTATATGTTGTTGTTGTCTTAATATTCTGAAATCTATCTTCAAATCATACTGACCTCTGAAAATCCATGAATTCAAGTAATGTTTATTGGCCACCCATAAAGCAGAAGGCATGGTGCCAGTTATTAAAGGAAATACAAGGTGCGTTTCATCTCCTAGCTGCCATCACTGTTGTGTGCTCTCTTCCCTACTGCTCACAGACCTCTTCTTCACCAGCTTCTCTTATCACCCCTTAACATATTTCCCCAAAGTATAGCCCGACCCTCTGGGCTCTGCTTTAGAACTCTTTTGTATGTATGTTCGACTATCAGCCTTCATCAGATGACTTACGGCTCAGTATCTCTGGCCCTGCAACCTCAGTTGAGCTCCAGATCCATAGCCCCTAATTGCCTTCTGGAAATTTAGACTTTCCCGTTCAACTGTTCCTTCACACTCACTAATTAGTACATATTCAGCATGAATTCACTGTATTGATGGCGTCCACTCTCCTTCACTACAAAACAACTTCCTTTTCCCATTCTTAGGTTTGAAAATTAAGACATTTGTTTATTCATTCATATGTAATAAAAATACTTACTGAAAAGCTATGGTGTGTTTAAAGCTCCCCGTCTGCGTGGGGGTAGGGGGAGAGGCAGGGCAAAAGGGCTGACATTTTAGACCTTTGGAATAAAATCTGGTGAGCACCATCCTTGAGGCATTTATGAGAGAAAAGGAGAAGAGAAGGAGAGTTTGCCAGCCAGGGATAGTCAGGTGAAGGGGGCAACATTTAGATAATGTGGGGCGAGGGAAGTCATGGCTCAGTTAAGGAATGACTGGTTGGTGTGAGTAGGGAAATGTGGCAGGAGAAAAAGAAGGTTGGAATACAGCGTATGGGACCTCAGAGCCACAGGTTTTTAGCTGGGATCACGTGATCGCATTCTTGTTTTTATTGCTTCTGATTACTCTATTGTTGAATGATTGTACAGAATGAAGTGATTACAGGGAGATAGATCATGTTGAAATTCATAGAAGCAAAGCAGGCTGAATATGATGGAGGCCCAGGTCAAGAGAGTGGGGGTAGGATGAGGTTAGTCCAGATGCAAGAAGCAATAGGCTTACAGAATGGTGTGTGTGTGTGTGTGTGTGCACGCGTGCGCACGCGTGTGCATGTTGGGGGATAGCCAGTGGGCAAGGAGAATCAGAGAGAATGTTGACGTTTTGACCCCGAACAAGTAAATGAATGGTGATGTTGACATGGGAACACAGGATAGAGTGGACAACATAATGACATAATGAATTTGGCTTTTACACATTGAGGCCAGAACTCTAGGAGAAACAAGACAACAATTAAAGGACAAGGACAGAGAGCAGAAACAACAGTGCAGAGGGTGAGGGGAAATTAGAAGAACCAATTCCCTTCTGTAATGACTCGAGTTGGGATGAACAGTGGGAGAAGCATCTTAGTGGGGTAATAGAAGAACTAGTGAAGGAGTGACTTGAAAGCGGAGATAGCAGCAAGTGCAGCCATCTCTTTAAAAGGTTAGTAAGTTAAAGAGGAAAAGAAAAACTAAAGCTGCTTGAGGGAGAATTAGGTTCAAGGGAAATATTTTTGAATTCAGAACACTTAAGCTGAGGGACGCAGAGGTTAAGTATGGAGTTGTAGCTGCTGATGGACATATGATCATGAGCCTAAGTAAAGGGACTAACCTTGAAAAAGTAGTAGAGACAAGTACTGCATTCTTTATAACAATGAAAAAAGAAGTGAAAGGGGGAGATATAAATTTGGAGATGGATGGCTGAAATGTTTAGAGAATTGATGGCTTATGATCTCTACTTTTTCATGCAAGTAGAAAGTATATAAAAAAGAACGTATATATGTGGATAACTGAGTCACTCTGGTGTACAGAAGACATTGGCACAGCATTGTAAATCAACTACACTTCAATTAAAGCAAAAAAAAAAAAGAAAAAGAAAGTATAGCCATCGACGACTAAGGAAAGAATGATGGGGCAGCTTGAGAACGGGGAAAAAGCTTAATAGAGCCACACTGCAATTATAAAAAGAGAACAAAATAGGGGTGAGTAGAAAAGAAAAATGCTGAAAAGCCCTATAGATAATTATATATAATGTTGAATGGATGAATGACCAGGTTGAAAGTCATCTCCTCCAACTTCATCAAATGTGAAATAACTGAGCTTTTGATAGAGGCCAGGGACAAACTCACAGTGACTTAGTAGACTCTGTTTTACATAGTTATGTATTCTATTGATATTTTCTAAAATTATAGCAAATTGATTTTTGCATACTAGTGTGTATCCGTGCATTTTATGAAAAGGCTACAATATTTAACAGCTAAATAGTGCTTTTCTTTCCAAAGTAAACTTACGAGGATGACCTCATTTTTCCCTCTACCTATTCAAGAGTTCCTTTATCTGATTGGACTCACATAAGAGTGACAAATCTAATTAGACCGTGATGCAACTCTATATTTTGTTGAAAAATAATGTCTTGACATGTTCAGCTTTCTCATTCCCCCTGGGTATTTATATTGCAGCTATACGGTTTTCCTTTGACAGTAACTGACTCCTGAAAAGCATTCTTTCTACTAGGGAGATGTTTCTATGAGAAGCAAGGTGAATAGAATAAATAACTACCATTTCAGTCTTCAATCTGATACTATACATTCCATCTACAGATAAAGTGTTATCCTTTCTCTTCATTTGACTTCACATGTGGCCATATGTAAACCTCCATTTTCTTACCTAGTTCATGATAATGCTGGGAAGATTGTTCGGTGTCTTTAATTGAACTGCACTTTATAGAGAATGACATTATTATATATTTTAATCACTTTTGATGATTTTATACTTAACTGTTCTAGTTAAGTTTTCTAAACTATTGAGAAAATCCCTTAGAAATTTCAAATACAAACAGTAGCAATGAAAGTTTGTGATTATCTATTTGAATGAAGTGTTTTGGAAAACCATTAAATGCTCTTTAAGTTGAAATATAATTGTTTAATTTGTTGGTAAAGAGAGAAGGAAGATAATTACCTCCTGTAAGACAGGATGGCATTATCTTATCTTCTGTAAATAGATACTGATTAAATAGCTGAGGCACAAGAAGAAAATAAGACTAATAATGGTAGTAATAATAATCACAGCATACGTTGCATGTGTACATCACTCTTCATTCTTCTAAGTATTTCACATCTGTAATCTCATTTGATACTTTCCACAGTCCTATGCAGAGGGATATTATTATGCTGTTTTACAGATGAGAGACCCAAGGGCCTGAGAGCTTAAACTTCTTGAAAAACACAACACACATTTCGATCGTTTCTACGAGAACATTATTTGCAAATGCCATAAAGTGCTGTGAACTATTGTGGCAAAACTGCTGAGAAACAGAAGTACCTGTTCACCAAATCCAGTTGATCAAATGAATGACTTGGCACTATGAAAATTTAGTTTCCATTTATAGTTTAAGAATGAAAGAATCTAGTATATTTATAGTTGTACAACCACCACCAAAATCCAATTTCAGAACATTTTCATCACCCCAAGAGATACACTTAATTTTAAATTTAGTCTCTACTCAGTCATAA